GGGCTCGAGGGCTGGGCCTGGGGCCGGCACCCCAGGGCCGGGGCCAGCCTGGGCCGCGCCTCCCCCCCCCACACTCCCCCTTACCTGCTTCAGGCTTCCCGCGACTCAAATGTTCACAGGAAGCAGGGGAGGGGGCGGAGACTTTGGGGAGGGGGCGGAGTTGGGGCGGGGCGGGGCTGGGGGCGGGGCCCCGTGGAGTGTCCTCCTTTGGGAGGCACAAAATATGGTAACCCTACTCGAGACTGAAGGATGCTACTAGGGGTGGGATCACATTTAGAGCTGTGTTGCTCTGCAGGAGATGCACTAATCACCCCAACGGCAAGCAATTCCCCCAGCTGTGTCATGCAGCTGCTGCCTCTGGGATACCTCCTCGCTCAACAAAGACACATCCTGCAGTGCCTGAGCTACCAGGCTGCCAGCTATTCTAGGGTTTCTCTCCCTCCCGTTTTTGTTTTTGGTGGGGACGGGGAACAGTTGCAAAAAATCTCAAAAGGTCTCAGTGCAGAGCAGGAAAACTGTTCCCACCCAGCGATCCTGTGACCCTTCTGCCCTCGCGGTCAATGTTCAGACTCCCCTTGGCTGCAATGGGGCAGGGTCAGACCCACCTGAGTTGTCCCCAGTGCCGCAAACCTGTCAATGCTCCATCGGCCAGTGAGTCTAGACAAGACCTGAATTCCAGTGGAACAAACCAAACCAAACAATTTTGGTCACATGAATGTTCCGGCTCTCTTTACCGCCAGGAAGTAGCAAAGGGCACAAGCCCCCGTTCTCCTCCCTTACATGAATAACTGGATGCTTATCAGGTTTAACACCCTGTGATAAATGAAGGGAGGGTAGCTCCCTTTTATAGACACCCAGCCAGCCAGTTAGCTGTAAAATCCCTCTAGGTAGCTGTTCTCTGCTTGCTTTACCTGTGAAAGGTTAAAAAGCCTCCCTGCATAGGTACAAAAAAGAAAACAACAAAAAAAAAGGGCATGGGCACCTGACCAAAAGAGCCAATGGGAGGGCTAGAACTTTTTAAAATTGGGAAAAAACTTCCCCTTTGTCTGTTGTTCTTGCTGGGCTGCAGGGACACAGAGCAGCAATGCTATAAGCAGCAATTCTGTGTAAGGTTTGAACCAGGTATGAAAAAGTATCTTCCATACCTAGAAGGAATCATGGGGACAGGGAATGCGATCAGGTTTATTTCTTTATTTTGGCTTGTGAATCTCCTCTCTGCTAACCCCAGATGCTTTTGTTTGCTTGTAACCTTTAAGCTGAACCCCCAAGAAAGCTTATTTGGGTGCTTAATTTTTGGAATTGCTCTTTTAAAATCTAGCAAAGGCCTAAGTTCCAGATGTATTTTTTCTTTTTGTTTTTAATAAAATTTACCTTTTTTTAAGAACAGAATTTGATTTTTGGCATCCTAAGAGGTTTGTGCATATGCTGTTTGATTAGCTGGTGGCAACAATTAATTTCCTTTGTTTTCTTTCTCAGCTGTTCCCGGGGGCGGGTGGGGGTGAAAGGGCTTGAGGGTACCCCACAGGGAGGAATTCCCAAGTGCTCCTTCCTGGGTTCAAGGGGGTTTTTGCATTTGGGTGGTGGCAGCGTTTACCAAGCCAAGGTCAGAGAAAAGCTGTAACCTTGGGAGTGTAATACAAGCCTGGAGTGGCCAGTATTAATTTTTAAAATCCTAGCGGACCCCCACTTCCTGTACTCAGAGTGACAGAATGGGGACTCAGCCCCAACACACCCACTACTTTGCTATTAACTGTCAGCCCTAACCTCCGCTCAGAGATTTTTGCCTGGGAATTTCCTTAGTTTTTTTTTTTTAAAAGATGTTCCACAGCCAGAGGGCTTTGACTCCTTGCTTCTCATCTCCCCTCCCTCTGACCCCTCTGAGTGATCCTTCCCTTGGGACCCTCCCCTGTATCTCTCAACTACACTCAGGTGCTGTGCAGGATGGTGGTTGCAGGCTATGCTCATTCACCCCACCCAAGGTCTCACAGCAGGCCAGCAGCACAGTGCTCTAAGACCTTGTCTACACGGGCAAGTTTCTGCGCTGTAACTCCCGAGGTTACACGCTGCCGAGACACTTAGTGCGCAGAAACTGCCCAGTTGCAGTGCTATAAAAAACCCACCCCGACGAGGCGTACAGCTTTCTGTGCCATGGCTACAGTGCCGCGGTACCAGTGTAGACATCCTGGTCGATTACAGCACTGCCACTTGTGATGTGTTCATGAGAGCGAGCAGCATATTGGTCAACAGTGCAGGATCCGTTCCTGCAGACTGAAGAAGCAGGGCGCCCAGTACACAAATGGTTGAAAGATGGCGCCACATGCAGACGGAGGCACAGGAGGGATTGCTGGGATGCGAAGCAATGCATCACGGGGTATTGGGACAGGACCCAGGATGCCCCACAACCCCCTCCGCCTTCCCCCAACTAAGGCCGCAGAAGAGGAAGAGATGCTCTGTGGGATAGCTGCCCAGAGTGCACCGCTCTGAATACCAATGCAAGTGCTGCAAGTATGAACACGCTATTGTGCTGGCAGTGGACAGTGTGAACACACAACAGCGGTTTCCCTTCAGTGCTCTCTGAGCGGCGCTGTAACTGCCAGTGATGTAACTCTGCCAGTGTAGACATACCCTAGAGTCTCCCCACCTACGTTATTTCCATGAATCTCCTTCTGTTCTTGTGTCCTGATAGTCTTCAAATATGTTCAGGGTTGTTCATAGACCCAGAGGGTTAGAAGGGACCGCAAGGGTCATCTAGTCTAACCCCCTCCCAGGATGCAAGATTTGTTGCGTCTAAACCATCCAAGACAGGTGACTATCCAGCCTCCTTTTGAAAACCTCCAGTGAAGGAGATTCCACAACCTGCCTAGGTGTCTGTTCCATTGTCCTGCTGTCCTTACAGTTAGGAAGTTTAATCTAAATCTGCCATGCTGTAGTTTGAACCCATTGCCTCGTGTCCTGCCCTCTGGGGCAAGAGAAAACAACTTTTCTCCATCTTTTTTATGGCAACCTTTCAAGTATTTGAAGACGACCATCACGTCCCCCCTTAATCTCCTTTTTTCCAAACGAACCACTCAGTTCCTTCAGCCTTTGCTTGTATGGCTGCATTCTATCCCTTGGATCATCTTTGTCACTCGCCTCAGGATCCTTTCCAGTTTCTCTACATCCTTTCTATACATTGCTGACCAAAACTGGACACAGTCCTCCAGCTGAGGCCTACCCAGTGCTGATTAGAGCAGTACTATCACCTCCCATGACTTGCATGCTATGCCTCTGTTAATGCAACCTAAAACTGCATTTGTTTGTTTTGTTTGCAACAGCATCACACTGCTGACTCATGTTGAGGTTGTGATGCACCACAACTCCCAGATCCTTCTCAGCTGCCAAGCCAGTTATCCCCCATTGTGTATTTGTGCGTTTGTTTTTTCTTCCCTACGTGTAGAACCTTACATTCATCTTTGTTGAATTTCATTTTGTCTGTAGCCCAGTTCTTCAATTTATCAAGATTCCTCTGAATGTTAGCTCTATCCTCCAAAGTGTTGGCAACTCCCTCTAGCTTTGTGTCATCTGCAAACTTGATCAGTGTGCTCTCTAGTCCTACATCCAGGTCTTTAATCAAGATGTTAAATAACACTGGTTCCAGAAAAGATCCCTGTGGACCCCCCCACTTGAAACCTCCCTCCAATCTGACATTCCATTAAGAGTGACTCCGTTTGTGGTTGTTTAGCCAATTCTGTATCCATTTAAGGTTAGTTTTGTCGAGCCCGCATTTCTCCAGCTTACTTATCAGAATGTCGTGTGGGACTGTGTCAGAAGCTTTGCTGAAGTCCAGGTATATTATGTCCACCGTATTCCCCCCTTCACCAAATCAGCTACCCTATCAAAGAAGGAAATCAAGCTGGTTTGGCAGGAGCTGTTCTTGGTAAATCCATGCTGGTTGCTAGTGATCACCCTTCATCCTCCCGGTATTCACAAATTGAATGTTTGAGACATTGCTCTGGTAGCTTCCCAGGTACTGAGGTCTGGCTGACTGGTCTGTAGTTCCCCAGTTCCTCCTTTTTAAAGATGGGCCCTATGTTAGCCCTTCTCCAGTCTTCCGGGACTTCTCCTGTCATCCATGAGTTTGCTAATATTATTGCCAGTGGCTCCAAGATTTCTTCAGCCAATTCCTTCACTTCCCTGGGATGAATAGCATCAGGCCCACTGACCTGTATTCATTCAAATTGGTCAGAAGATCTCAGATTGGTTCTTTACTTATGTTTGTTTTAAACCTGGTGCCTGCTCATTTCATTGGGTAACCCCTAGTTCTTGTGTTATGGGAAGGGGTAAATAATGGGTTTAAGCTGCAGCATGGGAGATTTAGGTTAGATATTAGGAAAAACGTGCCAGCTCTAAGTGTAGTTAAGCTCTGGAACAGGCTTCCCAGGAAGGTTGTGGAATCCCTGTCATTGGAGGCTTTTCAGAACAGGTTGGCCAAACACCTGTTGGATGGTCTAGGTTCACTTGGGCCCGCCTCAGTGCAGGGGGCTGGACTAGGTGAGTTCTGGAGGTCCCTTCCAACCTGACAGTTCGGCGATTCTACGCACTCGCTGTCTGAGAGCCCTCTCAGAGTAACAAACCCCTACAGGTGCCCCAGGTCCCAGTTGCATCTGCAGAGCGCACACCTTCCCCTGAGCCTGGTGGGTGGGTTCTCTCTGCCAGGTGAGCTGCTGAGAGACAGCAAGTTCTAGTACTGCAAGCCAGGACAGGAGGGGAGCAGGGATGATGGATGGCTGTGGGCTGAGTCCCTCTGCCTCACACCTTGTGTCATTATTCACACCCGTGCAAGGGGGTATAAAATACGACCCCATCTGCATTCTCTGCTCACCCCAATGGGAGCCTCTTGCACCCAGCGTAAATTACACTCCCGACCCTGTACTGCGCCTTGCACACATTGCCCAACATGGTCAAATCACACTGCCCCTTCCAGGCTCAGCCCTGCATCTCAGAGCACCGGTCGGCAGTGGCTCAGTTTCATCATCCCCATTTTACACACGGGGAAATTGATTTGGAGGCAAAGTGACTCTGCCAGGGTCATACAGCAAAGAGGAGAGAACCCAGGAGCTCCGATTTCCACTGCTATACTATGGCCCGTCTCCACCCAGGCTATCTCCGAACAAACCAGCCTCACAGCTGCCAGGCCTTCAGAAGTTTGCATGTACAGTTTATTTTGTTTCACAACAGAAATACAAAGAGCAAAATTGTTTTGAATTTTTTTTTAAATTCTTTTTCTTTTAAACATAATGCAAACTTTCGATACGGAAGCCGCAGCCTCCTCATGTCTTTCCGTTAACCACAATGCGAGACAGAGAGAAGGGGGAGGGAGAATCCTTTTTTTTTTTCCTTTTTCTTTTTTAATAAGGTAATAACTAGATCTAGAGACACGTGGCCTGGATTTTCATATAGAAAAAAAATAAAACAAAAAGATGTGTTAACAGTATGTATAAGAGGCATATTTACACAGTATTAACATGCTGACAAAAAGGTTACAATATTGAATATCGTACAACATCGATTCAGAAACAAAGGTCAGGGCAGAGGGCAGGGTAAAAAGAGAATCAAATTAATAAACAGAGTAGGCAATAAACAAACAACCTGGTAAAACAATGATATAGTTAAGGCTTAAAAAGTGTATAAAAATAACAGTTAATATCCAAAACGGAACCAAAGAGTACATAATATATATGAGTTTTTGTCTAGTCTTTCTTAGAGGGCTGGGGGACGTGGGGCATTCTTCCGTCTCTATACATAGGTGTTATATACACACACACACACGTATATTTATATAACTCCATGTATCCATCCAGCCACACACAGGCATGGGCACGGCTTTCCAAACAGGGAGGAGGGCAAGCCCCTCTGCTTGCTGCTTCTTTAATACTATATTGAATTGGTTTCACCCAACAGGAAGGGATCTATGATTTGCTGCTGGAGGGGGAGAGGGATGGGAGGGATCTGCTCTGCTTTTATAAATCTCTCATGGTTGGGAGGGTTTCTGTTCTGGCAGTGAAAGGCTTAAGTGGCCACAGGTGGCTGTATCCCCTCCTGCGTGGGAGGATGTTCTCTCCAGCAATGCACAGCGCCTCCTGCTGGGAGAAGCTGGGTTAGTGCATGAGCAGCCAGCCAGTGCTTCCAGCTGGAGCAGCGGTGAGCTCTCCATCAGTGCGAGCTCCGACCATGGCCCTGCTGAGCTGCGTTAGCTCTGAGCTCCCGCCCAAGAAACGCTGCCCTAGTGTATTTGTTCCCTGCAGGGCCTGCTGCTGCCGTTGACTCTGGCTGGGCCAGGCCCCTCCAAAGCTGCTCCATTGGAGGTATTTACACATTGCAAATCATTCTTCCTGCTGCATTTGCTTCTCGGTGTCTGGTATGTGGGATTCTGCAGGGCAGAGAGGCGGATCACAGCACCCTTGGCTGGGGGAATCCCCGTCCAGTCCAGCTGGCCTGAGAGCAGGCTCTGCAGCTCCCAAAACAGCTCAGTCCCCCAAAGGCCAGAGCTCAAGCTGGTGCCCAGGTGCCCCGAGGGAATCACGTGGAGGGCAGTGGGATCCATGCCTGTGGTACCACTACTGTACCCAATGAGGTGACCCCAGAGAAGGGAAGGGCCTCGTGTCTCTTGTTGCTGGATTTCTCCCTCCTAAGCCTGCTCCAAGGTTCCCTGCCAGGGGACTGCACTGCTGGGGGGCTGATTTCCAGGAGGTGCCAGGGGAGGTGGGGAAGGAACGCCGCTCCGGGAATACAGACCGCTCTGCGTTTCTCCCATCGCCCGTCTGACCAGCCACACGGTCCCAGGACAGACTAAGTCAGCCCCCTCAGGCACTGCCAGTCCCTGCTACTGGGCCCAGCCCCCAGGGCACGCTGGCTTTCCTCTTCCCCTTTAGTGTTTTAGTTTGCTCAGGAGGGAGCTGGTTTGTTCCCTGCATCCCAGGAGCCAGGGGGGCTCACAGCCTAATCCTGCCCCACTAACCTCTGGGAGAGCTTTGTCATGGCAGCAGAATCAGACCCCAAAGGATCAGAATTTCAGATCCAAGCGGTGCTAATGTCACAGCTCACCTCCGATGCCAGCAGCAGGGAGTGGGGGCAATGCAGGCTATCCCCTGCTGATCTCCCCAAGTCCTGCAGAGCCCTCCTGTGCTCAGTACAGCCCTGTTTGCAAGTGACCCTCAAACCTGATTCTAATCGGCCCCATTTCACAGAGCACAAGCTACAGCCCAAACCATGGTCCTGGCTGAGCCAAGGTAGGGTCAGCCAAGTTCAGAACAACTGACAGGTGCTCTGAGCATGGGCAGGGTTACAGCTGGGCCAGAAATGGAGCCAGTCACAGGCCCTAGTGTGGATAGGGCTAACGGGAGCTGTGCCCAGCCAGCAGATGTTCCAGGTGTTACTGTGCCAGCCAACAGGTGCTCTGCAGGTGGCTTCATTACCATCCTGCACAGACACAGCAGGAGAAAGGGAAATTCTCACGGCAGCTGGCTGGTGCCAAAGCCCCAGGGACTGAGCCAGCGCTAGCCCTGCCACAGGGTTCAGGGACTGGATGGGGTTTCTATGTGAATCCTGTGAAGGTGCAGAAAGTGTTTGCCAGTGCCCTGCTGGGAACCCAGAGGGAGGGGCAGAGCCGGGGCGCAGGGGGTGGAGACATTCCTGGTAGGGGTGGTCTGGAGGGAGCTTTCCCATGGGGCAGACCCACCTCTCCCACATGCACCACTCTGCCTGGGGCCCAGCCCCTCGTCAAGCAAACACAGGCTCCAGGAGGTAATGGAGACAGAGGAGACCCCAGGCTGCCCCCTTGCCCCGGGCTGCTGTGGTGCCCGGGCTTCCAGAGCAGCAGCACTAGATGCCCATAGTGGGGAAGAGAGATTGAAAAATAATCCACGTCAAAGAGCATAACCTGCGGCGAGTACCCCTCCCCCCCGTCTCTCACACTCACTCTTCCTTAGCGAACGCCCCTTCATAGCTCAGGACAATCCCTAGTTAGCACCAGGTGGACTCGGGGGGGCTGGGGGGGAGGGAAAGGGCAGCGGACCGTGGACAGCTGAGGCTCCCAAACTCCTGCTGTGAAACCCCATGCCCCCCCCCCCCCCGCCCCCCAATCCTCAGCATCATGGCCAAAGTGCCCCTCCACTCCCACATGCCATGGCTGGCCTAGCAGAGCTGGGGTCTGGAAAGGGGAGCCCCACAGCTGGGACTATACCAGAGCTGGCCACAGTCTGCCTGACTCGCTGCCCCACTCCTATAGACTACAGCTCCCAGCAGGCAATGCACTTTCCCGATCTGGTGGGATACTGCTTAGCTCAAACTAGAGCACGGCATGCTGGGACCTGTGGTCTCCATGGGCTGCATCTCTGGATTCTGCACAGGCATGGCCAGCCCTGCCCTCGATGAACGTGGCCAGCCCCGGCTGTGTCCTTGTCGTAGGCTGAGCGCCTCCTCCGGCAGCCACCACACTTACCCCAGCCGGGCAGAGGGCGCGGGTGAAATGTGCACGGACCACGGCGCGGCCGCAGGGCCAGCCAGTCCTGTGCAGCTCGAACCAGGACAAATGAAACAAACCAAAGGAAACAACCAAAACGTCCCAACGAGGTTAGACAAAGCGGCAGAGGGACAAGCCCCAGCGGGGAACAGCGACGTCTGCAGAACAAAGGTCTCCCTCCTGCGGCTGCTGCTCAGCGCCTGTCCCCACGCCAGCAGAGCCGCAGATCTCACCTCTCCAGCCAACAGGTTAACCCATTCCCCTCTCAACTGGCCTCACGCTGGCTCCCAACAGAGAGTCCAGGAGGGGCAGCAGATACCAACCGCCAGGCTGGGCACATCCCAGAGTCTCATCCTGAGGCTGAAGGAGCCCGAGTGCCAGGCCCTGGATCCTGCCCGCCATGCCATCCAGCGCTTCTCTGTCCAGTTCGGGTTTTCGGTTTTAGCAGCACCAACTTCTTGGCCAATATATATATATATATATATATCTCTACTTGTATCCAAAAGAGAGCAGAAAGGAGCACGGAGGATGGGGGTGGGGGCAGAAAGAAGGGGAAAAAAAGAAAGAAAATGAAGAAACCAAACACAGAGATTCAAAGTGCTCTGAAATAGTCTTTGGATTTCACCAAAACTGTGGACGAGTCCCTGGTTCTCCCGGCAGGGTGCTGGGGACGGGACCAGGGCCGAGGGGTGTTTTCCAAACATTAATTCATTCATTTATTTCTCCCAAAAGATGAGTGTCTTCGCAGTCGCTCCCCGTGGCTCGGCAGGCGCGGGCACTCGGTGGCGGTGCTGGGGGGGTGGTCTGTGTGATCGTCTCCAAGCCGCCCCCTGGCCCCTGGCGATCCGGAATTGGGGGGAGGAGAGCTGCGCAGGGTAGGGGTGGGCGAGGGAGCCCCAGATTAGATGAGTGAGATCCGCACTGGGATGCCGGGGGACTCCGTCCTTTGAGGCGAGTGCTGGCTCACTAGGTGTTCCACCACGGTGTGTTTGGACATGTGCTTCATCAAATACGTCTCCTGGGGGGGAGAGAGACAGCCAGGCAGCAGGGTAAGCAGTGCAGCTAGGAGGGGTGGGCCCACTGTCTGCCTCGCCCCCTGTGCCCAGAAGGGAGCCCCCATCCCATGCCCCTGCCCAGAATCCATCCTCATTCACACGCCTGGGAGCGCTACAGGACAGCTCAGAGGTGACAAGCTGATTGGCTCTCCCAAGGGATCCGCCTCCACCTGGCAGGAAGAAGCCCAGGCTTCAGGCTCTAGCCAATAGAGAGCAATTTTCTCTTACCAGCTGATTTGCGAATGGCTGGCGCCTGATCCCTGCAGCACCATAAGAGCCTCCCTTGCCAGTGCTGGGATGACTGCTGTGCTAAGGAGCTCCTCACCCAACGAGCACCTGGCTGTAGGCAGAGACCCTCCCTTTCTCATCCCGCGGGGCTGATCTGGCACAGGCTGGGGGCATGAGCCGTCTCTGGAACAGACCCTGCCCCGTGGCACCTCTGGCCCCATCGCGGCCCCGTCCCTGCCTTGGCCAGTGCCTGGCTCCCCACACCCCCTGCCACTCACCGAGGTGTAGGCCCGCCCACACATGCTGCAGCAGTAGGCCTTGGCGTGTTTGATGGCGTGTGCAGAGAGGTGGATCTGCAGCGATGCCGAGTCCGAGTACGCCCGGTAGCAGTTCGGACACTTGTAGGGCTTATCCTTGTTGTGCTGTCGCTGGTGTGACTGCGAGGGCAGGAGGAGGACGGGGCAGTGTTACGTGGCACAATCCTTGGCAGCTCTTGGGCCACGCCCCCACCCCATGGGGACACAGAGCCCAGCGGCTGGGGACCTGCTCTGCTCCCAGGATCCACACCAATGGCAGAGTAGACACCCCTGTGGGACAGGGGCCAACGACTATCGATCCCCACAGCCCCCTGCAGGGCTCGGGGCATCGGCGCCACCTCCCCCAGTCCTAGGCCCCCAGACACTGATGCTGCTCCCTGGAACCACATCCATCTCCCCCTACCCATCAACTGCCCAGCTCCATGACCTAGGTCCTCTCCCCCCATCAGCTTCTTATTTTCTGCGCCCCCCACCCCGCAACCACTTGTCTCTCCCCTCCCCAAGGGCTCGGCCCCCCGTGGGTTGGGAACCTGCCGGGCCCCAACAGGGCACTGACCTGGAGGTTGGAGAGCTGCGTGAAAGCCTTTTCACAGCCAGGGTGTGGGCACTTGTAGGGTCTGTCGCCAGTGTGAATTCTGCAACACAGCAACAGGAACGTCAACACAGGCACCGCCTGGAATGGGATCAAACCCCGTGCCCTACTCTGCTGTGGGGGTGCAGCAGCCCTCTAAGGCCCCAGCACACACAGGGCACCTGGACAGCCCCTCTCCTCTCCTGCCCCACTCAGCGAGCAAGGGGGTGAAGGTGGCTCTGTCCCCCAAAGGGCTGCCTCTGTTAGCACGCTGGATTCCAGCCCTGCGGGGGCCAGGTACACAAAAGCAGGAGCCAGCCCTCTCCAGCAACGGGACGGAGACGGACCACCCCAGCTGCAGGGCAATGGGCTCCCAGCATGCTGCCTAGCCAGCGCCAGCGTGGGGCAAGCCTCCCCTTGCCGTCATTGGAGTTATAACTCGAATGTCCCGTCCGCACAGAAACGCCTTCACGCGAGTCCAGGGGTGCTTTTAGCTCAAGTTGGCTGGCCTGAGACGTGCACCGCTCGTCACCTGCCCTGCGGTGGGGACACAGCTAGCGCCACTCGAGTGCTGCCAGTCTGCCAAGGCCTTCCTACCATGCCCCCTGTTCCTGGAAGGACAGATGAGTTCTCCCTCAATCCACTGGGAACGTACTCACAGAGCCGCCCAGCCCCCTCCATGCGAACGTCCTGGGCTGTGCCCCCAGAAGTCCTAGCGCCTCACACGAGCGCGGGCAGTGCCAGCGCAGACCTGGCAGTGGGAGAGCCCGGACACAGCGTGGCCGTGCTCACTGGAGCTGGGCTCGCTCGAGAGGAGTCACTCGAGCTAACTCCGTGATGAAGACACATTGGCACCACCCCACAGGTTAGTTACTTCCTGCTCAGCAAGATCATGGAGTCTGACTGGTTCAGCCCGGAGGGAGGGCAGAGCTGCCACCTCTGAGGTACAAAAACCCAGGACAACCAGGATGCTCCTGGGCCCGTCAGACTGGCCAGCTGGCCATGTACTGAGCACTTGACAGTCTCCCAGCACAGCTACCTCAAAAGAGGGTCGATCCTGGGCAAACCTGGACAGGTGGCGTCCCGAAGGGAAAGAGGGAGGGAGGTTTATAAGGCCAGTCCACGGAGGCAGGCAGAGGATGGCTGGCCTGTCCCAAGGGCTCACAGGAGGCAGTTGTCCCTCTGGCTTCATTCCACACAGGCTCCCAGAGTAGAGAGGCCAGCAGGTGCTTTCTGAAGGCCGCCTGCTCCTTCAGGTTTGATGCTGGGGGGCAGCGCAGGAATCCAGGGGCATAGGGAGAGGAACCCAGGCTGGGAATAGGAGTCAAACCCTGCATCACTCTAGGGGTCCTGAGGTGGCCAGAGAAACGCTCTCCCAGGTAGGCCCAATGGGAAAGCCTGGGCTCGATTCCACAGCTCCATGCAATAGGATGGCTGGGCACCTGTTCATAGGCAAAATCTGGCACCTGGGCATGTGAGACCAGGGATACGTGCCACACACCCACTGCATGCAAACACTGGTGCAAGGGCGCAGACCTACACCACTGGCGTGCCCACAAGAGCCGGGTCTCATAGGTGCTGGTGAATTTTTACATGGCTCTTGGGGCGCTCAAGGCTGGACAAAGCAGGGACCACCAGCAGCCCGGCTCCTGACAGGACAGTGGTGGCATGCCCATGCTGTGCTTATCCCAGTGCATTCTGGGACTCCATAGTTAGGGCCCTACCCAATTCACGGCCATGAAAAACGCATCACAGCCTGTGAAATCTGGTCTCCCCCTGTGAAATCTGGTCTTTTGTGAGCTTTTACCCTCTACTACACAGATTTCATGGGGGAGACCAGCGTTTCTCAAATTGGGGGTCCTGACCCAAAAGTAGGGTTGCCCACCCTCCAGGATTGTCCTGGACTCTCCAGGAATTAATCTTTAATTAAAGATAATGTCATGTGATGAAACCTCCAGGAGTTCATCCAACCAAAGTTGGTAACCCTACCCAAAAGGGAGTTATTTTTTGGGGTGGGGGGGGTCGCAAGGTTATTTTAGAGGGGTCACGGTATTGCCACCCTTACTCCTGCGTTACTTTCCGAGCTTGGCAGCCAGAGAGTGGGCGGCTGTTGGCTAGGTGCCCAGCTCTGAAGGCAGCGCCCCGCCAGCAACAGTGCAGAAGGGTAGCCGTACTAACCCCCCTTACAATAACCTTGTGACCCCCTCACAACTCCTTTTTGGGTCAGGACCTCTACAATTACAACACCATCAAATTTCAGGTTTAAACAGTTGAAATCATGAAATTCACTATTTTTAAAATCCAATGACTGTGAAATTGACCAAGAAGGACCATGAATTTGGTAGGGCCCTACCCATAGTGCCTGGCACTGTTGGTGGGTGCAGGTGGTTAGGAGTCATTTCCCCATACAGAGCACTGCACTGCGGGACCATCAGGGGGACAGAGGCTACAGCTTCCCAGCCGCTTGGGGACAAAGGCTGTGGGACGAACCAGTTCAGCCAGACAGGAGTTACAGGCTTGGTCCAGCTGTCAGAGGCTTGTTTGCTCTGGGACTCCATGGGGCGTGCAGGTGGCACCTGCTCAGAGCCAGCCCGACACCGGCCATTGCAGCCCCGTCCCTCACCTGGTGTGCTGCTGGAGATGGGAGAGCTGGCGGAAGGATTTCTCACAGTAGGAGCAGTGATACGGCTTCACGCCCAGGTGGATGCGCAGGTGCTGGGCCAAGTAGGAGGCGTTGGCGAAGGATTTGGAGCAGTGCGGGCACTTGTGGGGTTTGGCCTCTGTGTGCGACTTGGAGTGGATCTGCATCTCCGACTTGGTGAAGAAGGTCAGGGGGCAGACTTTACACCTGGGGAGGGACAGCGAGAGGGGCCCGGGGGGCATCAGGCAAGGGCATGGCAAGCAGCACACCCCAGCCCAGGCCCCCCGCCAGGCACCTGCACTGCCAGCTCTAGGACAGTGTGCCCTGCAGCGTTGCAGGGGCCAGGGGCTGAGAGCAGTGCGGGACATGAGGCTGTTGCAGCCCCAGCCTGCCCCGGGAGTAACTCCGGCCTGGCTGCTACGGGCCAGATCCACCCCACAGGCCTGGCTTCTTACCCAGGACTTGTCCCATTCCCCTCCCTCTGCCCGGCCCGGCGATGGGCACACACTGTGGGGAGCCAGCATGGTCGGGCAGGGCAGCTAGTCTCTGATGGGCTCCACAGCAGGGACATGTCTGCAGAAGCTAGCAATGCAGGGACTGAGCACAGCTTCCGCTCACCAGCACTGGGGACCATCTGACCTTTCAGTCCACACAATTGTCCTCCACAAGACAGGCAACTGTGAGCCCCCCATTCCACCGATGGAGAAACTGAGGCACGGAAAAGGGAAACGACTTGCCCAAGGTCGCCCAGGGAATCAGTGTCAGAACCAGGAACAGAAGGAACCCAGCCACCCTGATTCCAATCCCCTTCCTAGAGCTGGGACTAGAACACAGGAGTCCTGGGTGCCAGTCCTGTGCTCATGCCCCCACACTGGCAGAGAGGGGGTGGTGCATGGAGGGTGGGCCACACCCCAGCAGAGGCCTGGCCAAATGAAGGCCGTAGGGTGGCACCTGAACAGAAAGGGGCTGTTGCCATGTTCCCATGCCAGGTGCCCTTCAGCAGAGGAAGGGAGCAGCCAGCAGACCAGGCTGGGAGTGCCCAGCTGGGGTGGGGGCAGCCCAACCTGTAGGTTTTGCCCTCTTTAGCCGTCTCGCCCGAGGCCAGGATGGGGTAGGGCACCACGAGGACGGGCGGCCCCGACGGGTTCTCCGCCTTGATCTTCTTCCTCCCTCGCTCTGACTTGGGCGCCCCCAGCAGGCTGTGGCCCTGGATTGTCTTGATGGAGTCCAGGAGCGGGGGGCTGGTGATCCCTGAGATGAGGGTGGGCGAGGAGGCGATGAGTCTGCTCTGACTGGTGGAGGTGGGAGTGGAGGGGGTGCTGGTGCCAGTGCTGGATTCCGAGGTGCTGACTGCGGGGGCACGGGAGGCCAGCCCCAGACCTGAAAGGTAAACGGGGGGGATCACTGGAACGCAGCTGCACAGGGATGGAGCTCGCCCTTCTCCCCCAGGGGGCAGCTGGCTTTGGGATACTGAGACCCCATCGCAGGAAGCTTCCCAGACAGGCATGGCTTCCCCAGTACAGCTGATCCCACTTAGGGGACCCTAGCTAGGGGAGGGAGGCTGACCCATTGCCCCCCCCAAACTCCCAGCCCCTGAGAATAGAGGCAGAGGAGGGGACCCCCTGCAGCTGCAACATGGCACTGAGAGGTTCCACCTCCGTACCCCATCGGCAGAAAGGGCAGCGGGTGAAACAGACCGTCCTGCCAAGGGGGAGAGCATGGCCTAGGAGTGGGGGGCAGCGCCAGCCTCTGCCTAGGGATCCTGCCAGGTAATCTGGGTTCCCTCAAACACAGGGGGCCCCCCCTTCTGAAGTCCTGTCCCCTCCTGCCTGTGCAAAATCACACCCCTGCCCCTCTAACCCTTCCCCTCCCAGCCCCGCCCACAGTGCTCCCCACGGTGCTGCTGGGCTGTGGTTACCTGTGACCGTGCTGGTGGCCGGCCGGGCATGCAGGGCCACGTCAGGCTGGGGGACGGCCTGTGGGTGCAGCCCTGGGACCTGCTGCAGTTTGGGGAGGGACATGATGGACTGGCTGCTCTCTGCAGGCGAGGGGGGCACCAGCAGGGGCTGCTGGGAGGACACCGAGGTGGGGGGCAGGTGAGGGGGCCGGATCTTCTCTGCCATCAGCTGCTCCTTGATTTTATTGATCAGAACCAAGTTGTCCAGCTGGGACGAGGAAAGCAAGACGCACACGTCACTGCCAGAGGCACGGGAGCACGGCAGGTGCCCCACGGGGAAGCTGCCAGCCCTGGCACAGCGCAGGTGAGGAGACACTGGCTCCCACCCCCAACTATGCCACTGTTCTGGGGCACGGCCCCTCCCCTGCAAGTCCACGTGTGGAGTGGGGAAGGGTTCTCCCCCCACGGCCCCACCTCTGCGACTGCTTGGAGGAAAGAGGGGCCAGACTCCTGGAGCTGCACGCTTCCCAACATGCAGTGGGGCCCCCAGCACTGGCAGTTCCCATGCCAGCACGTGGCACTGGGATTCCACCCACCCACTAAGCTAGCTGGCACACTGTTCTGCGCTGGGATGCCTGCCAAAGGCTGCCCCTCTCCCAGCCAGCTGCAGCTGGGGTATCTACCATAGACGCTGCAGACGGAGCAGAGGTAATAGCTCATCTAATGCACTCACCTCCCCCCGGCCCTCCAGGAGCTCAGGGCCGGATTGTCCCTTCTCACCTATCCCTGAGCCTCGCAAGGGGGCTCCCTTCCCTGGCATGACGCTCCCCAGCCCAACAGCTCCGTGGGTCCTGAGACGTAGTCTAAGTGTCTGGATCCTGCCTCATCACCACTGGCCACAGGACTTTAGCAACCTTCATTTCTCCCCAGGGGTCAGTCCCCCCCGGCCATGGCCCTGCCCACTGCTCTTCCCGGGGTCTCGGCTGGCCCTGCCACAGCCCCCAACAGCCACTACCTGGGATCGCGCTGCTCTGCAGCCGGATCTCACCCACGACTGCAAAAAGCTGCCCCTCCTCGCTTCTCTGGCTGCAGGGTAGGGAGGGGGTCTTACCTGGCTGGGCATGGTGGGAGGGGGCGGCCAGAAGTAGGGGTTGTTAAAGCGAGGCTCCGCCATCCTGCAAGGAGGCAAACAGAGAGAGGGTCACAGGGTGGCACTTGCTGCTGGGCTCCGTTACCCCCTTCCCACAGCTCAGTAGGTGCCACACGGCAAGGCCTGGCCAGGCCGCTGGTCACGCATCCCCCCACCCCCTGCCAGGCCCAGCCTCCTCTCCATGCAGAACAGACTGTGCCAGAGCTGCAACTCGGAGATGACACGGGAGCTTTATCCAGAGCCTGCGCTCCCGGACACCGCTCCGGGCCTGGGACCGACTCCATGGGGCAGGGGCGCATGCAGTGGGTTTATTCAGCGCATACGTGCATGGTTTATCCTCTCCCGCTCCACACACCAGTCCCATGCCCCGGCCCATCTCCTCAGGCTTAGTGCACCAGTGAAATCAGTGTCGGGGCCTCTGCTTCAGGGCAGCCCCTCTGTCCCCTGTAGGTGACAGTGTGGGGGTCCTGCCCCCGGGTGCCGGCTGACAGCAGCAGAAGGCTGCCCCTCCTGCCCCAGGAAGGGCGATGGCCCGTGAGTCCGAGTGCCCCCCACCCCCACCAGCATGGTCCTGATGTAGTCGCCATCTCGGGCAGCAGGACTCCCACAGCCAAAAGGATTCCCCCTTCACTCCCTAGAGACCACCCTCTGCTCCCGTCACTGGAGCCGTTCACCTCCGCTCAGGGGCCTGGGAGCCCAGTGACGCTGCCTGGCTGGGGTGAGGCGCAACACCCCCAGGCCTGGCAATCAAACCCAGACCCTGATGGAGATGGGGCTGCTAAGGAGCAGCTGCTCCAGGATCCATTTGGCTGGAAAGATGGTGGCAACAACACAACCTTTGAGGGTCGAAGCCAAAGCAAGGCGTCCCCAAGGGCTCAGCGTGGGATGAGGACGGCACCCCTCAGCGCCATGCAGGAAAGCCCTGTGGCTCCCAGGGGTAACCAAGATGGAGGGTGCCTTCCCCAGACCATCCCTGCACAGGGAGCGTGGGACCATGGAGGATCACAAAAGACCCAGAAGATAATGAAGCAACAACAGCCCATACCACCTCATACCCCTTCGTGGCTCAGCAGGAACCCAGTACCCACCAGAACTCAGCAGAGAAGCAGAGACTAGTTAGGGCCCATCTAATCCAGCACTGGGGGGGGGAGGCAGAAGCGTCCCCTGCTATCGGCTCCCTGGGCTGTGCGCAATGGAATGGCAGCGCCCTCAGCAAGCAGGTTCCCAGAACATCCCCAGGGAGACGATGCTGCAGCCGAATAGCTCCGACAGCCAGACATGCACAGCCGCTCAACCCACTGAGGAGGAACACAGTCCCTCTCCTTACAGCACAGACCCCTAACGTTCTTCCCACTGCCTAAGCAGGATGGATTTCCATGGGGCTGGCCCTGCGCTTCTCCTCTCTCCCTAGCTGTCTACCCATGGCTAATACAGCTAGCCTAGCCCTGAGGCTATGCCTCGCCCTGCTGCCTCTCATCCCATTCCTCAGCAGCAACATTCGGGCCCCTAACCCACCTCTGGTCATTGCGACTGTGGGAGCACAAGGGTGTTTTTCGTTAATCCCATCTCTACACTACACTGCTCCCCGATAGGGAATGAGGAGTCAGACAGGTGGGCCTAAGTCCTACCCCCAACTGCCAGCTGGAACAATCATTCCTTCTCCCTCCTTGGGTTTTACACCCACGAACGCCTGTGCAGGGTCACCATGGCCATCTCTCTCCAGGCGATGCTCAGCTGAGTCGTTAAGCAAGAGATCTCAGTGGCTCTCCCTCCTTACCAGGGAGTCCCTCTGGGGATACAGGAAGGAAGGATTTCACAGTCCCAGGCCCCAATGCTATCTACGCTCACCCTCGCACACACAGCACCAAACCCTCACTGACAGCTCTGTTTGCACATGGCCTCTGCTTTTAGGTGCCTTGCCTCCGCGTTGCCAGACATGAGACCCCTGCGCCGGATTTCCAGCACTCACAGCTCCCACTGACATCTGAAGATGTGGGTGGTCAGCGCACTTGCAAGTCTGGCCATAGGTGTCTCAAGCTGGGACCAGAACTTAAGGCAGGCACCCAAAAATCAGAGGCCACTTGAAAACGTGGTTCTTCATGTCCATATCTGGTAAGGCTGAAGGGCCAGAAAGCTGGAGAATTAAAGCAAATGGCACCATCTAATTTGCATAGTTGATGAATATGCATTTCTTCATTTACATGCAGACCAGAAATTAACTGAGTTATAATTTTTCAGGTTCATAACACACCACCCACTGCCTGTCTGCCCTGAACTAATTCTCTCTCTCCCCCTCTCAGCCGTAAGTTCCTCCCTGCAAGGAGGCAGCCATGGGCGTGACCTGATACCTGCACGGAGGCGGCTGTGGGCCCAAGCGGCACCTGGACACCTTGTGGCAACTGAAGTTGGATTAAAAAATGACACGAGTAAATAAATAAAATCTGTGCTGTCTGATAAGATGTTAATGTTGCCAACAATTATGCAAGCAACAGGATTTTGGCCCCTGCTATAGATATTTGATGAGATAACTGGCTCCGTGGATGAGGGGAAAATTGTAGTGTAGACATCCCCTAACTCTGCAGGGCAGACAACCCCTACGTGGTAAAGTGGAGGAGACTTGGCTGTGTTACTGATTCTGTTCCTAGCTCTGCCTGTAGGACTCTGTGCAAGTTCTTACACTAGGTCTTAACAGTTCACTTGCATGATCTACCATTGAGTTAATGCGGCTCAAGTTAACCTAGGTCAAGGGAGAGCGGCCATGTGGTGAAGTCACACACAGGTGGCCCGGCGTGATTGGATTAGCAGCAGTGTGATTGTGTTCACAGCTGAGGAGTTGTGCTAACTCGAGCGATACCCGGACCCCGATGGGCCAGGCAATTGGAATTAAAAGTGCCGTCATACTCACGAAGGGGTTTTGTGTGTGAACGGGACTCAGGGGCAGAAGGGGAGTGAAAATGAGCCCTCGTGCTCAGTTCTCTGTGGACATGTCTACACTACAGGGCCTATGTCAGCATGACAACAGAAGGAGCTTTTCCGCCCGGTAGTAACGCTATCTCCCTGAATGACGGGGTGACTGAAGCACTTTTTTCTGTTGGCTTAGCTGCATCTGCACTGGGGGCTTTGCCAGCATGTGTCACCTAGGGCTATGAATAGCCAACGGAGCTCTGCTAGCCCAACTTTTTAGTGTCAACCTGGCCTGTAAAATGGGTGAACGTTGGTTACCCCCAAGGTAACAGTAGGAGAGTTGGGTTCAGAATAAGGGTGAGGAAAGGGCATAGAAATAGCAGCAGCAGGCAGCGGAGGAGCTGGGGCTAGAACTCATGGGCTCTAAGCTTGTATTTTAGTGGCCCTCTCCTGGGCACGGCACGTAGGCCTTTCACTCACTGTACTTTGCTTCCCTGAAATCATGTGAAAGCCAGGATTTCTCATGTCCTCACAGGAATCATAGAATCTCAGGGTTGGAAGAGACCTCAGGAGGTCATCTAGTCCAGCCCCCTGCTCAAAGCAGGACCAATCCCCAACTAAATC